TTCTCTCCTTTATGATTTTTCTCCCATCCATTCTCCCTAAAATAGAATCAATTGTCTCATGTTTTACTAAGTTATCAAAAAAAACATTTTGTTTGGTAAGTAATTAAATTCTTACCAAATAAGTGCTTAAAAATAAAATGTCTTTACTACTTAGAAAGAACGTAAGGTTCGCATTTCACCTCTCTTTCGTCTAACCTTTCTTATATATGTCCCAATTTTTTCTTCTCCTCTCTGATTTTTCTCCCATCCATTCTCCCTAAAATAGAATGAGTTGTCTTATGTTTTATTAATTTATCAAAAAACACATTTTTTGGTAAGTAATTAAATTCTGACCAAATAAGTGGTTAACAATAAAATGGCAGGTAAATTATGGTGATTGCATATAAAAATTTGCTAAGATTTTAGTGCATCAATATAATAATAGACACACAGTCATGAGCTAATCTACTAGAATGTTTATATTCCTGTTGCAATGCATGAGCAATTGTCTAGTATTCCATAAAAAAATCTTCGCAAAGTTTCGTCCAATTCCAAGAACTTTTGTTTCGGCACAAAAATAACACCAAAGTAGTTCTGCTGAAAACACCGTTAGTCTAGGTTAGTTTCATTCAAATCATGCAATTTAGAGTCCAAAACAAGAGCAAATGTGTTTTGACAAGTAGATACGCTAGCGACGTATCAACTATCTATCTGGTGAGCCCAGGTCCTCAGATTGAGGGTTTCCCCTCTGGATAGTCCGGGTCCCTCGAGTGGTGCTTTAAGCTCGGGTGACTTTGGGTCCCTGGCCCCTTAACCCCAGAACCCCCGGAGTACCATGGGTGGCAACAATCACTTTGGTTGTGGGGGTATAAATGTTAACCTTTCTTCTTCCTCCAATCCTAATCCTTGACTTGAGCTTCTCCAGCATTGTCAAACCCTAACAACTTGATTACTCTCCATGCCTCCACTCAAACTCCACCAAACTTTGATTCTTAAAGAGAATCACCCAATCTACACTTTCACCAAACCAATTTGTTATCCTCATACTTGTTCATCACAAGCACTTGATACTCTTGGAGATTTGAGATTTCTAGGTGGTAGGAGTTAAGGCCCGGGAAGCTTCCTTACGTGTTGTGTGCTCGGGAAAGTTTGTAAAGGTCTGGTGGTTGCCAATACCAACCAAGGGTGATTTGAAGCTCGCCCAATGGGAGTGACTCAAAGGAATACTCGTGTGTTCCCCTTGGTAGCATTGTAGAGCTTTAGATTTGGTACCTCTCCAATAGAGATAAGCTCTTGCCCAAGAGTGTGAACTTCGAGATACGTCCATTGACGTGGCTTGAAACTGCATCGGTATTTCCCCAAAGAGGAAGGGATGATGCATCATAGCTACTGTAAGTATTTCCCTTAGTTATGAAACCAAGATATCAATCCAGTAGGAGAACCAAGCAACACTGTGTAAACAGTACCTGCACACAAAGAACAAAAACTTGCAACCCGACGTGTAAGAGAGGTTGTCAATCTCTCCACGGTGAAAAGATAGATCGGTTTTTGTAAGATTGGATAAACAGATCACACAAGAACACAAAATAAAAGATGCAAATAAAAAGTGCAACAAGTTATTTTTGGGTTTTTGGAATAATAGATCTGAAATTAAACGCGACAAAAAATAGATCAAAAAGCAATATGATAAAAGATAGACTCGGGGGCCATAGATTTCACTAGTGGCTTCTCTCAATAAAATAGCGCACGGTGGGTAAACAAATTACTGTTCGGCAATTGATAGAAGTTCAAATAATTATGATGATATCCAAGGCAATGATCAATATATAGGCATCACGTCCAAGATTAGTAGACCGAAACGATTCTGCATCTACTACTATTACTCCACACATCGACCGCTATCCAGCATGCATCTAGTGTATTAAGTTCATGGAGAAATGAAGTAATGCAATAAGAATGGTGACATGATGTAGACAAGATCTATTCATGCAGGAATAGACCCCATCTTGTTATCCTTAATAGCAACGATACATACGTGCCTCGCTACCCCTTGTGTCACCGGGTGAGGACACCGTAAGATTGAACCCATCACAAAACACCTCTTCCCATGGCAAGAAAAATCGATCTAGTTGGCCTAACTAAACCAAACATTCGAAGAAGAAATACGAGGCTATAAATAATCATGCATATAAGAGATCAAAAGAAGACTCAAATAATATTCATGGATATAGATCTGATCATAAACTTGAACTTCATCGGATCCCAACAAACACATCGCAAAAAGTCATTACATCAAATAGATCTCCAAGAGAACATTGTATTGACAATCAAAAGAGAGAGAGAGAGAGAGAGAGGAAGCCATCTATCTACTGCCTACGGACCCGTAGGTCTATGGTGGACTACTCACGCATCATCGAAGAGGCACCAATGGGGATGATGAACCCCTCTATGATGGTCTTAGATTGGATCTCGTGGTTCTGGAGCTTGCGGCGGCTGGAATTGTGTTTCGACTACTCCCCATGGGTTTATGGAATATTTGGTTATTTATAGAGCGAAGAGGAGATGGAGGAGACCCCTGTGGGCCCCACAAGACATCAGGGCGCGCCAGGGGCCTCTGGCATGCCCTGGTGTCTTGTGGGCCCCATGGGCCTCCCCTAGGTGCTTCCTTGGCTCCCAAGTTGTCTTCTAGTCCAAAAAAATCACCAAAAAGTTTCACCGCGTTTGGACTCCGTTTGGTACTGATATTTTGCGAAGTAAAAAACAAGCAAAAAACAGCAACTTGCACTAGGCACTATGCCAATAGGTTAGTCCCAAAAAAGATATAAAGTTGCTATAAAATGATTGTAAAACATCCAAGAATGATAATATAACAACATGGAACAATAAAAAATTATAGATACATTGGAGACGTATCATCCATGTCTCCCAGTTGCTTATAGTTTATACTTCATGTGTCTTTTCCTTGTGTTTGCTTGCTAGCCTTGTTGCTCTTGCTTATTTAGTGTAATAGCTTGCTTGACATATAGGATTTCCTCACTATAGATCGCATATATAAGAACATACTTTATCCACATTTCCCCTAGAAATTGAAGGTAAGCTAAAAAATTGTAGTCTCCTATACCCCCCCTATACTTCATCATTTGATCTTTTCAAGGGTGATGGCGCCGATATACGCAAAGGCTTGTGTTTCTTTCTATTTTTATGGATATATTCTTGTAAGGATTTGCAACTTTAATATATGGCCTTGGTCTTCTCGCAAAACAAATGTATGTGTTGCTTCTCAAACAAGTTTTATTTGTCTTTGGAGTTTCATGGATATTTCAACATGGGTATTTAGCTTCAAGCAAGATCTAATTCCAAGCCCTATATATAATATTCTTAGTGTAACGGCTAGTCCTTTGATTTCTGTTATTAGAGACCATCAATTCGTCACAAGGATAAAATGAAGAAAATGAAAGACAACTAACAATGGCAAACGTTTTGCCCAAGACTTTTCTATCGAGTTCACAAAAGTGGCAGAGCTTCAACAAGGCCAGTGTGGGCTGTCATGGCCAACCTATGAATGCTTTGTGCATACCCCTTAGCAAGTGACCCATGTATCCCTTGAAATAGGCCCAAAACTCATTTTGCCATCCCCGCCTGCTCCACTCTCCAAAGATGTGGCTTCATCTCTGCCACTACTTGGTGACACCCAACCCAAGCCTCCAGGGTAGGTGGGAGGGAGAGGGGTCGGTTTTAGGGAATGGGCAAAAGTAAAAGAATACATAATATGCCAAATTGGGATGATCTATCACGTGCACATGTGTCGGTGATAGAGAAAGGCGAAGGAATAAGCTCATCTTTCGGTATACACGCCATGAAAAACGTGGAAAAGGGGGATCATGCTAGGCAGCTGGTAGCCACAACGTGAAGAGTTGAGGAAAGAGAGGCCCACTCACCTTCTGGCATGCACCCATGAAGTCGAGGATTAGGTCACGTTCACCCCATCGCAAGAACACCATGAAGGGTTTGAGGAAAGGGGTCATGCTCACCTTTTTGCACGCAGATCGAATAATGTGTGTAACAAGTCACGCTCACTCCTAAAAGACATGGTGTGATGAGTGTGTGGGTGTTGTGAGGGAGGGGGGGAGGGGGTGTGTAAAGGATGCTACTAATCGTCGTTTGTGGTTGCGTGTGAATGGTTGATACTTGCATTCGACCGTCCACTGCCCTCTCATCAAAACAAAAAAAGTTGCTCGTTATACCGTGTTAACTTATTACTTTATACCTTGCAGATTACATAATTTTATTTATATAACATAAAAAAACTGGCATACGTATATCCCACAAAAATAGAAAGCGATTTGCACACAAGTAGTTAAGGCTGGAAAATATCAAGCAGCACATCTGTGATTTGATATGCTCCGCCAGAGCCAGGAAGCATAAAAAAGCCCCCAGGCCAGCAATGGAAAGTGTCAACGCGAAATTAAAATGAAAACGTAGAAAAAGGAAATTAAGAATGGAAAAATAAATAGGAAGGAGAAGCTTGGCTGTTCCGCTATATTCTAACTTCCCCCGCAGCTTCTCTCGTTTGCTCCCGTCCTCTCTCCTCGCCATTCTAGCTCCTGCCACGCTTTCCCCGAGCTCCCCAAGCTCTCGCCATGGCAAAGAACACATGCAAGCTCTGCTTCCGCCGCTTCGCTAGCCCCCGCGCCCTGGCAGGCCACATGCGCTCCCACTCCGTCCGCAACCTGGCCGCGAAGCAGCAGATCTCATAGGCGTCCTCCGCGTCCACCTCGTTCACCGCCGCCGCCGATGACGACGTCAGCTTCAAGAAGCCCCTTCCAATCTACGCGCTCCGGGAGAATCCCAAGCGCAGCCTGCGTGTCACCGATGTCGCCTTCTCGGATCGCGAGAGTGAGGCCGAGTCCACCCCGCCGCACCCCAAGCGCGCGCACGCCGCCGCTGCAGGGGCCGAGACCGAGCCGCTGAGCTCGGTGTCTGACGCTGCCACGCCGGAGGAGGACGTGGCGCTGTCCCTCATGATGCTCTCCCGCGACTCCTGGCCATCGATGGGGCGCGGCGACGGCGACGGCGACTACTCGGACGACGGGAGCGACGGCGGTTACACGCTCCCCGCTCCCGATCCGGCGCCGGTGGAGAAGCGTACACGGTTCCAGTGCAGCGCGTGCAAGAAGGTATTCCGTTCCTACCAGGCTCTTGGCGGCCACCGCGCCAGCCACGTGCGTGGCGGCAGGGGCGGCTGTTGCGCGCCTCCCGTCGCTCCCCCTCCTCCTCCTCCGCAGCCGCTGGCACCGCTGCCATTGATGGAACGCGAGGGGGACGAGGACATAGACGGGAAGGGGTCGCCACGGGAGTGCCCCTACTGCTACCGCGTGTTCGCCTCCGGGCAAGCTCTTGGTGGGCACAAGAGGTCCCATGTTTGCTCCGCCGCCGCCTCTGCAGCACAGGCGCATGCAGCCGCCGCTCCGCCGGACCCGATCAAAGCCTTTGGCATGATCGATCTGAACATCGCGCTGCCGTTCGAGGATGTGGAGCTCTCTGCCGTGTCAGATCCCCGTTTCTCCTCCAATCCAGGTTCTTGAAGCAAGCATTCCGGCTAATCCCAATGGAGGAGGTGATCTGAGGTGAGATAAATCCATCCAAGAAACCAAAAGGTAAAAAAAGAGGAAGAGAGAGAGAGATAAGAACCATCTTTGGTAGTTGTCGATGGCAGTCAATTTGCTCGTACAATTCGATTCCGTTGATCTGTTTTTACAGAATTCTAAACTGTTGATGTTGGTTTTGTTGCTGTTCGTTTAAAAGCTATGGAATTGGTGTAGATAAGCTGTGGTTTGTTATTGATCCGACGATCTGAATCTAGCTATAGCATCAGAATTGGGGTTTAAAAGGAACGTTTTTTCAGCTGAACCATCTCTTCCCCATGTTTGCATAGCCCAGAGCACACACATTATACTGAGACCAAGTAGTTGAGAAGCAGTGCTAGAGACCAAAGCACGCACAAAAGCATGGCAGTGGAGTAGAGTAGAGTAGACGAGTTAAGCTTTTGCCTAGTGTCCAAAGTCACAATGGCAAGCAATGTGCTTTGCTCTGTGTCTGTGTTGTGTTGCCTCCTTTCTTTCGCTCCTTGAGTTGCTGCTGCCATATGAACAGCAGCTGCTCGTACCCTTGTGTTCCTGTTTGTTCCCCACCACTATTTCTTTCATTAACCACCCATGCCTCTCTGCGCGTGGGCCCCAGCCACATACTCTGCGTACGGTACTAGGTTGCAGAATTGCAGAGGTCATGGCCACTGAAATCAATCGTATACGGATGATAACAGCCAGCCAACCAGCTAGCCATTCTTTGTTTATGGAGAAACGGCAGTCGTTTTTGTAGGGCTCGGGCTCCACGTTTGGAGGCAGGCGGTTAGCATCTCGCCCCCACCGGTGGCGTCCACGTGTCGCCCCGCCCCAGTCGGAGGTTGGTGTGTGGTGGTGGTGGTGCTTCGAGTCCGGCCGGTCATTCAGGCCCCCCGCTGATTCCGGGGGAAGGAATTAACACGGAATTAATCGCGCGGTTTAATGTGCGCGTAGCATTTTGACTCCTCCCCTGGCCTGCCTTTCCCGTCCCGTATCTGGGAGAAGCCGGTGGGCGCGGAGCCCGAAGCGGATCTTGGCGACGAAATGGCTGGTGCACACGAGGGCGCGGGGGCGATCAGGCTGACCCGTGGGGCCCGCACCGCGCCAGTCGTACTGTAGGTCGTACCCCGTGCGGGACAGGGCGAGCGGGGCCGGGATAAAGCGCAGCGGGGAGGGGCCGGTGGGGCTTACGTGGTAGCCGCTGCCTTGGCCGTCCGATCAAGGCTGGACGCCTGCCGATCGGTCGTGCCTGGTAGCGCCTGTCTGCTTGCTTGGGGCTTTTAGATCACGTCCGTGTCAGGCCATCCATCATCACCGTGTTGCTCGCTTCTCCTGCTAGCCTAGCTTGCCTAATCCCCGTACTGATACAGCACACCCTGATTCGATCCCACATTAATAGCACGAAATCATGAGCTTCCAGCACGTACTTACTTTGGGCGTTTCTGACGTGTGCAGCTGCTTAATTACTACTATTGCATTTTGCAGTATGGTTAATGGGTAGTAGAACGACGGTGCATTGGATGCTGAAAGGTGTGTGCTCTCGTTCTGTTGGCGTGAAGGTGTATCGTATCGCTTTAGGCGAAATCTTTTTTCCTTTAGCGTGCGTGGAAGCAGATGCATATATGCCTGCACCGCGGTGCACGCCATATATGTACCACTAGCAGTTTGCTGTCCCATTCCTGCCTCCTGGTGGACGCCTGGAAATTCTTCTTCCTCCGGACTAGTATATGGCGACACTGAAAGTGAACTGCTAGCTCTTGAGTAGCTACCGGTCGAGCTTAGGTAGCTCGATCGAGCTAGCCAGCAACCAACTTAGTACCAACCTTACCTCTGCTTGCTCTTTTTCCTGCATCCCAAACAAATGTAGGTACTGAGCAAGCTCCACGCATGCACGACTCATGATTCTGTGGCTTGGTTCAGTAAAGTTGGTCACACGAGTCGCATGGACCGGGGGCCGATGGGTGGATTGATCGACCCAGCGCGTGCATGCTGGTTAGCTTATAGGAGTGGCATAGCCAGCCAACTGGATGGATGCTCGTGCCATCCATCCATGCATGCCTATCACGTTAAGCATCAACTGGGCTACTGGAGTAGTAATATCAGCTTTCTACTGACTATTGTTTGCCCCGGCCTCAAGGTGGGAGATGGGTGACTCTGGGCGTGCATGTATGCATGCATGCTTGGTTGATCAGTTGGCACTTGACAGCAGATCGCCCCGACGTGCGTGTGGCCATTAAAATGTGGTGCGGTTGAATTCCTCTCGATCGTCCGTATGAAGATGGATCGTGCAGTCGTTCGCTGCTGGCTCACATGCATGGTTGGTGGCCTGGGCTGGGGTCACGAACAAGCAAGCCGTGAAGGCGAATGGGAGGCGCACTGTACCTTGTCACGCTTTACGCTGTGCTGTGCTGTGCCTCGCTCGCCACTGGAAACGGCACGGCACCGCACGCACGCCGCGCGCGCGGGGCAGATCCACAAGCAAGCAAGCAAGCAGGCACCGGTAGCTCGCTAGCTCGCCACACACATGCTCCTCGCTCTTCACTTTCCCGTACGTCCTAATCTCCTACCTAATTTTACTGCTAGGAGACGGGCAGTATGTGCATGCCCAAAGTAGAAGAAAATACTCCTTTGAAGTTGCTGATTAAGCTTCGGATCTGAGCTCGGCCGTGTGTGTTCCAATGGCCACGTGATGGCGACCTTGGCGTTGCAAGGTGCAGATCCTGACGAGGAACCAACATTGCGTTGCTGGATTGTTGACGAGTCGGCTATCTTGCAGTCCGGGGAGATTTTGTGCAATTGCGTTCTCTAAAAAACACATCTCCCGTGGAGTCACTCGTGGGGTCTAGTCTAGAAAGAAAATGGACAAACTTGGCTTGTAATTAGCACATCGTTATTATCATCCATACACACCTCGAATCTGGTAGCTAGGACCAAACCAGTAACGAGCATGGATGCAAGTATGGCTAAGCTGCAGCGTTTAAAAAAAGTCTCTTTGGTTAACGACTCATAAGTTACGTGCTCATTTCCATATGTGTAGACGTGTAGTATTTCATCCTCAAGTGTGCTACTATACTCACATATTGCCTGCTGCATACACATGTAATGCAGTATCCGTCTTTTTTTTTCAGTTCTTGTTTATTTTTTTGAAACTTTAAAAGAAATAAGAAAAAAAAGATGAAAAAAAAATTGAAACTCAGTTTTTGTTTATTGAAGCCAGCAGGAAATGTAGTAGTGGCTATATTGAGGATAGTAAAATGTGCACGCATGTCAGGCTTTCGTCTCTCTGTAGGCTGTAGCATGCACTTGGAAGATGCTGGCCCACGAATAAGTACCTCACCAAGTTTGCGCGGGCGCTACGACTTAGATGGCTATGGTACGAATGGAAGGACCCAACTAAGATGTGGGTTGGCCTTGACAACCCTTGCAACAAGATGGACCGGGCTCTCTTCTACGCGTCTTCGCACATCATCATTGGCAATGGGGCCCGTGCACCTTTCTGGGATTCACCTTGGATCAATGGGGTGGCGCCCTTGGACTTGGCACCGCTCATTTTTGATATCTCCTCGAGAAAAAAGTGGAAGGTCCAGAGGCCATGCATGGCTTGAAAAAATTAGGTTACCCATGGACTGGACAATGGAGCACATTACACAAATTGTGACTCTTTGGGCTCGCTCTCGGTATATTCACCTTGTGGACGGAATCCAAGATGACATTATATGGAAGCATACGACAAGTGGTCACTACTCCGCGACCCCGGCATACAAGGCTCAATTTCTTGGCGCCACGCGATCACCCATGGGCAAGACGATCTGGAAGGTCTGGGCGCACCCAAAAGTCAAAATTTTTGCATGGCTTGCAACTCAAAACCGACTTTGGAGGGCGGATAGGCTCCAGAAGCGAGCTTGGCCAAATTGCGGTTTATGTCCTCTTTGCAAGCAGACTAATGAAATGGTGGATCACCTCTTCTTCAAGTGTCGTTTCACTAGGAGACTTTGGGGCATGATCAAGGATTGGCTTGGGCTAGACTTCTCGCTGAAATGACGAGCGCTCCATCAAGGATTGGTGGATCAACATGTCCGAAAAAAACGTGGCAAATCGGAAGGCAATGGCAACCCTCACCATGCCGTCTTACTGGACTATTTGGTGTGAGCGAAATGCTAGGGTGTTCCGACAGAAATCGACGCTACCATCCATCATCTTTGGTAACATCAAGAATGAGGCTAGGCTTTGGATCGCCGCCGGCGCGAAACACTTGGGAAACATCATATGCCGCAAGAGTAGAATCTATGTATCTTATCTTGCTTTTCTGTTGTAAAAGCAACTCTAAACTTCTTCTTAATTAATGGATGAGGTAAATCTTTTGCCTCCGTTTTGAAAAAAAAATTAAGTACTGCTAACATAACTGAAGGACGGTAGTGCTCCTAGTATAACTGCACCTTGGCTCAAACGGAAGGTTAGTCCCAAACTGGAACAGATACAGGTCAGTGCTGCTAGCCAGCAGGAGTGCAGGAACACAGCAAACACGGTAGCGGCAGGAAGCATCTTGGATCTCAGAGTTATAAGAAGATAGGCGTTGGCGTGGGAAAACTGGAAGTATTCTGTCCAAATTAGACACGGCCCTTGCTTGTCCATTAGCCAGCGGTGGCGCCTCGCTTCTGCGTCAATGATATCTTGCACGGGCGAACTAGCTAGCTATGGACTCCCGGTGAGCGCCGGGCAGCTTCGTACGCGACAAGCTGATGCATGTGCCGGCATCATCTAGCTACAGCTTATGGCTGCATGCTTTGCGGTTGCTACAGAGCAACCAAGCAAGTAAATCAAGATGCATGGCTGCGAGTTTCAGTACTACAAGGTGCATTGGCATCTTCGATTGGCACGAGTACCAGGGCATTGCTCCAGGACTGTGATTATTTCTTCGGGGATTGTTGATTTCGGACCGGCCTAAAAGCTGCGATGTGGAATGG